ATCATCCAAGTATTGCTACAACATATAACAACATTGGTCGTGTCTATAATGATCAAGGCAAGTATGATGACGCTCTATCAATGTATAACAAATCACTCAAGATTAATCTAACACAACTTGGCGACAATCATCCAAGTATTGCTACAACATATGACAACATTGGTCGTGTCTATAATGATCAAGGCAAGTATGATGACGCTCTATCAATGTATAACAAATCACTCAAGATTGACCTAACACAACTTGGCGACAATCATCCAAGTATTGCTACAACATATAACAACATTGGTCGTGTTTATAATCATCAAGGCAAGTATGATGACGCTCTATCAATGTATAACAAGTCACTCAACATTAACCTAACACAACTTGGCGACAATCATCCAAGTATTGCTACAACATATAACAACATTGCAAGTGTCTATGATCATCAAGGCAAGTATGATGACGCTCTATCCATGTATAACAAGTCACTCAAGATTAATCAAACACAACTTGGCGACAATCATCCAAGTATTGCTGATACATATAACAACATTGCAAATGTCTATAAAGATCAAGGCAAGTATGATGACGCTTTATCAATGCTTCTGTAAGGTGTTTGATAAGTAATTTGCTTTAAATATTCTGCTTTTGATTATAAATACAGCGCTAACGGCACAATACGACACCATACTGAAGTATTGCAGTCGGTAAACAACATGTTCACCAAGCATATCTTAAATTATAGGCGTTTCAACCCTGCTAAATTCTAAGTCGGTCTATTAGTCTAATAAGATCTAATAGATCGCGAAAATCGTTAAATTACAAACATATTGTAGTAGTAGTGAGTAGTGCAGCCCCAATATAACTTAAACATTGATTCTAAGGTGGTATGAGTATTCGTGCTAGTAGTTATAATATTGTTACAGTTTGGTATATCGTGATGAGATGGAGCTGGGATTAACTCACGAGGTACTCCGACTGTCGGATAGCTGATATATTCGACCTACTGACTTACAACAACTTGGTAATCTTCGGTTAAGCATAGTAATGCTTTATTTCTCTATTCTCTAAACTGTCCATAACCGCGAGCTAAGAATAACGCTAAGAATAACGCAATGCACGTGAATCTCTGAAGAGAAATTCAATTTACTAATCGTTCACGCTCAACTACGAGCTCTGAGAAAACAACTTTGCCGAATACTTGAATACTATACTATTTAAATACAAGCATCCGTAATGGTAATTGTGAGAATGATACGTCCCTTTACGCATAATTTACATTCTAAACTCTACGCGATTACAAAACTAAGACTAGAAAAGTATAGATTGCAGTAGTTATTAGAGATGCTGTATTAGGTAACCGTAACGCCTTAACATACACAAGTAACGAATCCTAGGCTAACTAAGATAGATGTTGAATTCTGTATCCTGATGATACTTTGCAACTAAATGTACATATAAGCAGGAGATTTCGTCTTCGAAGTTAAGTTAGTCGTAGCTAATCTGGTCCTTGGTGGAAGATGTAATTTATTCTCAAGATACGGAAGTCTTTGCTTAAAGTTAGACGCTTTATCACACAGTGAGGCTATTACAAATTAATATCATATAGGGTTTAATGAAGTTAGTAACTTTATTG